AGGGGGGAAGGGGGGGAGTCGCACCGCCTTCTCATTCCCTGTTATAAATAACATTATATGGCAATGAAGTGAGATCCGTGTGATGGGAGGAGGGCGGACCAATCAGGCGAGAGGATCCGAAAACACGCCGCGATCTCCTCACCCACATCCCAATCTCATGGGATATATGTATACGGGGGTCATAGGTGCTGCACCCTATACATGTCAGATGGGAGGTACATAATCAATACCGATCAGATGAGATATTGATCAGATGGAGTGTACGTATGGGATATTGATCAGAAGGAATGTATATATGAGATACTTATAAGATGAGATGCAGATATGGGATATTGATCTGAAAGGATCTACATATAGGATATTGATCAGATGGGATGTATATATGGGATATCGATCAGATGGAGTGTATATATGGGATATTGATCTGAAAGGATCTACATATAGGATATTGATCAGATGGGATGTATATATGGGATATTGATCAGATGGAGTGTATATATGGGATATCGATCAGATGGGATGTATAGATGGGATATTGATCAGATGGAGTGTATATATGGGATATTGATCTGAAAGGATCTACATATAGGATATTGATCAGATGGGATGTATATATGGGATATTGATCAGATGGAGTGTATATGTGGGATATTGATCTGAAAGGATCTACATATAGGATATTGATCAGATGGGATGTATATATGGGATATTGATCAGATGGAGTGTATATATGGGATATCGATCAGATGGGATGTATAGATGGGATATTGATCAGATGGAGTGTATATATGGGATATCGATCAGATGGGATGTATATATGGGATATTGATCAGATGGAGTGTATATGTGGGATATCGATCAGATGGGATGTATATATGGGATATCAATCAGATGGGATGTATATATGGGATATCGATCAGATGGGATGTATATATGGGATATCAATCAGATGGGATGTATATATGGGATATTGATCAGATTGGATGTATATATGGGATATCGGTCAGATGGGATGTATATATGGGATATCGATCAGATGGGATGTACATATGGGATATTGATCAGATGGGATGCATATATGGGATATCGATCAGATGAGATGTACATATGGGATATTGATCAGATGAGATGTACATATGGGATATTGATCAGATGAGATGTACATATGGGATATTGATCAGATGGAGTGTATATGTGGGATATTGATCAGATCAGATGGAATATATATATATGGGTCTGGTAGGTCTGCACTGTACATTGGTCAGGAACGGGTATTCAGCCCAGACTAGTGATTTCCGCACTCTATACTCTATATATGATGCAGCTAACATGATTATGGTGACATATGGACCTAATTTTCATCGTTCGATAGTTCAATCCAATATTATCGCTGCATTACAAGGAAGGGAAACGAACATTCAGCATTGCTGCTCGTGTTGTGATGAATTTGTGCCTCTTGTTGAATTTGTCGCCATCGTCTGACACATCCGGCCCGCCGCGGCTAAAGGAGAATCATTTGGTGATTCATGAATAGAGTCACATGACCAACAAGAAACAGACGTGGGCCTAGAAAGAGCGATGCGTGTTCCTTCAATCAGCAAACGTTTGGAGATCAATCAGAAATCCCCCCCGGATCAGAATAATCACGGCGTTATTTACACCTAGCTTAAAGTGGACCTGTCATCAGATACAGAATGTGCTTTCATGCTGATGTGTCAGAGGCACACACCTGGGTATTTTTCCCCTCTCACAGAGATCACAGTAACCCCCCGACAATGCCTTCATCTGCTTTTCTCTCATGAAGGACGGCGCCATCTTTGTTGAGGCATCATCCAGGGTCACCATCTACTTCCTGGACTGAGATGCTGACACAACCATGTAAATCCTGGTGCCTGTGCAGTTCCTAGCTGTGTTCACAATTTTCTGACACAGATGAGCCTCTGCTGCAGCCTCTCACCTATTGACTGAATATACAATGCTGCAGTCTGATCACCGGGGGGAGGGGAGACTGAGGAAATGCTTCCTCCTGCCTGCAGCAGACGGATCACTGGGGAGGGGAGACTGAGGAAATGCTTCCTCCAGCCTGCAGCAGACGGATGACATCATCTCAGCCTAAGCGAAGCCACTGATTGGAGGTCAATGATGGCTTTATAAGGCTTTAAAAAGGTGGAGCTTTGATACTGTTGCTGCATATTGTGTGATGTGCATCCCCCTTCCAGATTCCAAGAGATAATCATAAATAGTGTATATTGCAGCTTTCTGTCCTTAAACGTGTTTGCACCCCTCCCCCAGTCCTTAGATGTGTCTGCACCCCTCACCTTCCCCAGTCCTTAGATGTGGCGACTGTATTAGTTTTCCTATTGTAGGCTTCTCCCCCCCTTTATTTTCCGCTGGTGATCCTGCCAGCAACACACTTCCTGTCCCAGGGTGACAACACTCAATCACTGCACTGTATCTATGGAGGAGTGTTGTCGCTCCAGGACAGGAAGGGTATTAGGAATTCAGAACACTTCCTCCATTCCTCATCTCCAAAACACAAAGGGAGTGTTCTGTAGTCCTCACAGAAATCTGAGAAGGGCTGTTAATAACACTGCGGAGTGCACAGAACACTGGATCGCTCTGGATTTCTGGCAGGATCAACAGGTCTTTTTCTGCACTTATTGAACAGATATATCAAAACATTTCCAAATCGGACCAAAAGGAAGCAACTCAGATTAGTCCATTTTTTGGGGCCCGTTCACTCACATTGTACTTACACAGCACTACAACCCCAATTATATGTGTTGGTGCCATGCAGCGGCATTCATTGTGAATGGCACCCCAGTGCGCCTTGTAAACGGACATGAGTTGCAGTGTAGCTCCCCAGGGCCGGATTTACTCTCTCTGCTGCCCCAAGGCCGGGTTCCTCAATGTGCCCCCCCTACCCACCACCACCACGGTGAAGGGCAGACCTGCAGGCTGCATACAAGTGATCTCGGCGACATTGCTGGGATCACTTATACAAAACAAGTGACGGCTTCCCCGCTGTACATTTAGCTCTGCTTGGACAAATCAGGGCTAAATGTAGAAAACAACTACCCACCCGGAACTGCATGTCCCGGACATCGGGAGATAGGAATTCCACACCCCTGCTGCCCCTCTACTCCCTGCCACCCCTCTACTCCCTGCTGCCCCAAGGCCGAGCCTCGGTTGGCCTTGTGGGAAACTCAGCTCTGAGTGTGTGCCGCTCTAATGCATTACCTTAGTATGTTGGTGTGCTATTCAAATAAATGGCACTGTAATGCAGCATGTGTTGCGGCAACATGCACATGCATGTATAAATGAATCCGTAGTGTTATTTGTATTGTTTTTGTTTTTTAGTATCTATGATCAGGGCCGGATTTCCCACAAGGCCAACTGAGGCCCAGCCTTGGGGCAGCACGGAGTAGAGGGGCAGCAGGGGTGCGGCATTCCTATCTCCCGACGCCCGGTGGATACAGCGCGTAAAGTGAACAAATAAATAATAAATATTAACAAAAAATAATAAAATTTCGATACAAAACATCAAAAACTGTTTATGTATTTTTTTAAATTTGTATTTATTATTATTTTGTATAGAAACTTTGTATCCAATGTATTCGTGTGCTGTATATGAATTCTTTAACACAAGGTCACATTGGATGGGTTTTGTGTTAATCGCTGAACATCATTCTAACTGAGATGATCGTTATAGGTATCCAGCACAGCGGCTGCGGTAGATCGGTGTAGGTGTATCAGCGCAGCGCTCCGCACCGCGGTACGTGCGTCACCCCAATGCGCAGGTGTGAAGCCGGCCTTAGCGTTCGGCTTCATTGCGTTGGCATTCCTTTTTTTTTTTGGGCGTCATATATTTATGGTTCAGATGTGACAAACGTTCCCTGAAATATCACATGCAGTAAATGCGTCAGTCTCGGTTGATGAAATGTCACTCGCGTACTATATTTTTGGCTGCATTCAATCCATGTGATGAGATCTCACTGAAAAAAACAAAAAAACAAAAACAAAAGTGCATCTGAACAGAATTCGTCTTTTTTTTTGCATTTCGTCCACCCGGAAGACGTTTGTAACGAAACGATGACGGTGAAACTGGCGAGAAGGAACATTGGATGGGAACGGAGATACAATGTAACTAATTAATTACAGCAGACTGGGACTGTCCTACATGACTGTATAGCTGTCACGTTCCACAAGTACAAGCGGGACAGTTTTAGAGACCGTGCGTCACGAGTGGAAACATCGGAGCGTGTTTCACCCAGTCCGCCCGCAGGTCAGAGAGCAATATAAGCGGCTGATATAGGACTTGTGAGTCAATCATGAGGTCTAACGATGGAAATTCTATACATTCCATATTTTGTATAAAGGACCATTCAGCGATCTGTAAATCTACAATGTGTGTTTCATCAACCGATGGACAAGATGCAGCAACCAGTCATTAAATCCCATTGCTCTTATTGCTGTGAACACAGTGGGGTCGGGGTAGGAAGATCTCTGCTCTTGGCTGTATTAACCTTTAAGGCCTAAAATGTTAAACTATCAGAAAAAAAACTTTAAAGAACATTCCAAATCCACCAGAAAGTTGTGTAGTTGGGAGAGCGCCCAGGGCCCCAGCACTACGAAAACACAACTGACCCCTTACCCTCCCCATTTGGTTATGGATACACTGTAACAACTGGATACGTTTCCAGGTATCAGATTCCTCACCTGTACATGGAAAAGGACATTAGTACTGAGAAATATGTAGACTGTAGAACAGTGACGGAGGCTTGAGCTAGCCAGACCACTAGCATAGAGGTTCCCTCACCATTGGGAGTACTTATTTAGTGGAGAGGCATTTCCACGGACAACACTTTGAAGATCTGTCCCATCCCTGGAATCCACCACAACTGTGATGGACAATCAGCAAATCAATTTGATTAAGAGTAGAAAAGGAAGCTCGTACCTGTTTGGCCAGGAAGTCGTCGTTGGCGTTGACCTTCAGGGAGATGGCGAGATGAGTGGTGGCAAGGATAATCCCACTTATTACGGCCGCCCTCATCCGCACCGGAAGCAAGGTGTAAATGGTGTAGATGAAGAACACGGTCCACCATATTCCATCCGAGGCGCTCCTTGGCCTGACCAGGAAGACGCAGACCATCTGCACCATGAAGATGACGGCAATGACGGTGTAACAAGCGATCCACATGTAGTCCTGGTGGAAATCGTTCCGGTTGCACACGGCGATGAGCACGAAGATGATTGCCATGGCCACCGAAAGGACTACGACATAAGGCACCTGGTACTTCCTGTGGAGACAATGGAACACGAGCAGGACCACAATCAGCAAAACCAGGACTGACATGAGCATGGTCAAGCTGCTCTGGTTGAGTCTGAAGAAGTATCTCTGGTAGAGCCTCTCCAGTTTGTTGGACTGGAATTTTTTGGAGCGGAATATCTGCAGGACATCATTGCAGCAGATCCCCAGCGAGAAATGAAATTCTGACACGTCTTCGATGCCCTCGGCTTTGCCCTTGCCATTCTTCTCATCCAAGCCAAGCTCCACGGATTTAGGCCTCACCTCCCCCTCCCCAGGTTTCTGGATGGGTTTGTTGTTGTTCCGGCTCTCCTCCCCATGTTCCTGCCATGCAGATTTGGACTGGAAGCTCACCTTATGGTCTAGCGGAGAGTTTTTCCCCGGCTGGGCTTCATAGTCATCCTCGCTCCTCCATAAACCCATCATCCGCGAGGTCTTCTTTCTCGAGGACCGGCTCGAGTAACCGTATCCATTGATCCTGGTCTCCGCTTCCCCCCAAGCCGACCTGTGCTCTGTGCCCGATCGCAAGACGGGAGCCCCAAATCCTGGCGGGCTCACGCTGTTTGACCTAGACATGTCCCGTCGCTACAAAAAAGTCTTGTAGTCCCCCTCACGCTGGGAATGCACTTTACATAATGAGCAACGTGAACACCGAACTCTAATTCAAATCTGAAGTTCCACCAGCTGAAATAATAAGCACCATGTACTCCCGTATCCTTCTCACAATCCAGCTTCACATTTCCGATCCCAAAAAAAATGAAAACCGTTCCAGGATCTTCATGTCTGTTCTGAGCCTTTTAACAACTAGGCAGCTTTATTGTTCTGCCGCATTTCATCCGAAAATTAGAAGAGCGAAAAACATTCAAAAATATCGACTTAATCCCGGTGCTGAATTCTAAGCGCGGCTCAATCCGTTATCAGCCTTCTGGACAGAATAAATCTCGTAATAGCAAGAATTAAATCATTTAGAAAATACAGATAAAAAGAAGGTTTGTTGTGCAAACAGAAGGGGAATTCATCAGAATCGTCCTTAAATCTCCAATCGGATGTCTGTGGCCATCGGCTGGGTAAGGGGTATCACACCTGAGCAGGTGACCTGGAAAAGGCGAAACACCGATCAGTCATTGTGAACGCAGATACCGTATATTCCCTATGTTTTTGGTTTTTTTTTTGGTGGGATTAACCTGTAATGGGTAAGCTCAGAGGACGGTCTCCATCAGGCATTTAGTGGACCCCAATGTGTCCGTCACTGGATTAGTGAGCGTCCTGTTTACATCAACACCACGTTGCCCTTGTTTGATGTCAGCTAAAGCCTCAGCGTGGAAGGGATGGGGAGGGCAGTCAGCTGAAGGGTTAAAAGGCACATCACCAAAATTGTGCCCGGGATGCAATGTAACCACATCTGTATGGAGCTGTGCTGTGACACCAGACTGCCGTGAGGGTCATTGTCCAAGCATAGGGCCAAAGTCCAGGGAAGCGTCCGTTATGTGAGCAGCCAGGCTGGAAGATGCCGAATCCCCAGTCCCTTCCTCCAGCACGCTCACCATCATCATCATCAGACAGACGTGGGCAATCCTCATTGTTTACCTCCGGAGCATTGGGAGCGTGCAATGATCCTGCAACCTCTCCAATCCAGATCCCTGGATCCACCAATGGTTATAGGATCCGCTTTCCAGAGCCAGCACACATTCCAGATCCAGCACAACCTGATATAAATCCAGCACAGCTCCCGGATCCCTCTGTGCACAGAATGGTCCTCGATCCAGCGCAGGATCCCAGATGCCAATGTGTGCAGATGATACCAGATCCAGCACAGATCCCAGTTTGTACGGATGCCCCTAAAACCAGTACAGGCTCCCAGATCCCAGTGTGTACGGAATGGTCCTGGATCCAGCGCAGGCTCCCAGGTCCCTCTGTGTACACAATGCTCCCGGCTCCAGCAGATCCTCAGCCCAGGCAAAGGGGGGATGCAGATTCCTCCGGCAGGTATTACAAGTCACAGGACTGGACAGCCAGGACACCCCATCCTGCTGCTGCTGCCTCTATACTAGTCTTTGTACTCTCATTCAGCACACAGTGAACCCGCTGCTCCCGCCTCCCCCAGAATGCGATTGGCTGAGCCGGGCTGTCAGGGTTTTCCCACGGGATGTTACTGGACGGAGAAGTGTTTGATGCCTGGGGTGTTATAGAGAAGGGAGGAGAGAGACACACTAGTCACAGGAGAGACACTGATACAATGTAACACTATGGAGTGAGATACACCGGACTGTACTGGACAGTGTGATATGATATAACAGTGCTGGACTATAATACACAGAGGGATACAATATAACTCTATAATACACAGAGGGATACAAAATAACTCTATAATACACAGAGGGATACAATATAACACTATAATACACAGAGGGATACAATATAACACTATAATACACAGAGGGATACAATATAACACTATAATACACAGAGGGATACAATATAACACTATAATACACAGACGGATACCATATAACTCTATAATACACAGAGGGATACAATACTATATAACACTTGAAGATTATAATAAAGAGAGGGCTACAATATAAAGCCAAAGAACTATAATACACAGAAGGATGCAATATAACTTTGATGGACTATAATAAATAGAAGGATAAAATATAACATTGATATAATATAATAAACAGTGGGTGCAATATAACATTCCCAGATTATAATAAACAAAGAGATACAATCTAACACTCTAATAAACAGAGGGGTATCATATTATAACACTTGAAGATTATAATAAAGAGAGGGGTGCAATATAACACTGCTGGACTATAAGACACAGAAGGATACAATATAACATATATAATATAGAGAGTAATAAGATGTAATACTACAGTGGTGTATTTTATAACATTATACAGCTATTATTACACAAGTCTTACAGAATAGAACAATTCTCGTCTGATACACACAGCACAATATTATAAGATGTGATGATCTCTGGAGTCATTGAGGTGTAATACAACAGAGTATTATATCATATCTAGTGAAGAGCTGTAATACTCGGTCTAGGACAATGTCGCATAGACAAGGTTGGGCTTCTATAAGATATTGTCATGGATTGTATACGGTTCGGGTGAATCGGGAGTCGCGGGTCCATTTACTGCAACCGAAAGACAAAACTAAATAGAAATAAATATTCTGCGTCCTCAGAACCCAAAACCCTCCGATGATCCCGAAGGAAGCAAAATACTTATAAATAACATTTGCTGTAAATCTTTCTGATCCCCGAAGACAATCAGATCCTAAAATCAGCATTGTACACAGCGCTCCGATATATGACGCAATGTAACACAGCGCTCCGATATATGACGCAATGTAACACAGCGCTCCGATATATGACGCAATGTAACACAGCGCTCCGATATATGACGCAATGTAACACAGCGCTCCGATATATGACGCAATGTAACACAGCGCTCCGATATATGACGCAATGTAACACAGCGCTCCGATATATGACGCAATGTAACACAGCGCTCCGATATATGACGCAATGTAACACAGCGCTCCGATATATGACGCAATGTAACACAGCGCTCCGATATATGACGCAATGTAACACAGCGCTCCGATATATGACGCAATGTAACACAGCGCTCCGATATATGACGCAATGTAACACAGCGCTCCGATATATGACGCAATGTAACACAGCGCTCCGATATATGACGCAATGTAACACAGCGCTCCGATATATGACGCAATGTAACACAGCGCTCCGATATATGACGCAATGTAACACAGCGCTCCGATATATGACGCAATGTAACACAGCGCTCCGATATATGACGCAATGTAACACAGCGCTCCGATATATGACGCAATGTAACACAGCGCTCCGATATATGACGCAATGTAACACAGCGCTCCGATATATGACGCAATGTAACACAGCGCTCCGATATATGACGCAATGTAACACAGCGCTCCGATATATGACGCAATGTAACACAGCGCTCCGATATATGACGCAATGTAACACAGCGCTCCGATATATGACGCAATGTAACACAGCGCTCCGATATATGACGCAATGTAACACAGCGCTCCGATATATGACGCAATGTAACACAGCGCTCCGATATATGACGCAATGTAACACAGCGCTCCGATATATGACGCAATGTAACACAGCGCTCCGATATATGACGCAATGTAACACAGCGCTCCGATATATGACGCAATGTAACACAGCGCTCCGATATATGACGCAATGTAACACAGCGCTCCGATATATGACACAATGTAACACAGCGCTCCCATATATGACACAATGTAACACAGCGCTCTGATATATGACACATTGTAACACAGCCCTCCGATATATGACACAATGTAACACAGCGCTCCGATATATGACACAACAACACAGGAATACAAGGAGCCAAATATACACAGGAGGACCGCAGTGTGTACCGATCTGAGCTTGTTAGACAATCCATTCCAAAGCTATGGCTATTAATATGGAGTTGCCCCTCCCCTCATGGCCAATAATATGGACTTGCTCCTCCCCTCATGGCAATTAATATGGACTTGCTCCTCCCCTCATGGCAATTAATATGGACTTGCTCCTCCTCTCATAGCCATTGATATGGAGTTGCTCCTCCCCTCATGGCCATTAATATGGACTTGCTCCTCCCCTCATGGCCATTAATATGGACTTGCTCCTCCCCTCATGGCCATTAATATGGACTTGCTCCTCCCCTCATAGCCATTAATATGGACTTGCTCCTCCCCTCATGGCCATTAATATGGACTTGCTCCTCCCCTCATGGCCATTAATATGGACTTGCTCCTCCCCTCATAGCCATTAATATGGACTTGCTCCTCCCCTCATGGCCATTAATATGGACTTGTTCCTCCCCTCATGGCCATTAATATGGATTTGCTCCTCCCCTCATGGCCTTTTATAGGGACTTGTTCCTCCCCTCATAGCCATTGATATGGACTTGCTCCGCCTCTCATGGCCATTAATATGGACTTGTTCCTCCTCTCATGGCCATTAATATGGACTTGCTCCTCCCCTCATGGCCATTAATATGGACTTGATCCTCCCCTCATGGCCATTAATATGGACTTGCTCCTCCCCTCATGACCATTAATATGGACTTGCTCCTCCTCTCATGGCCATTAATATGGACTTGTTCCTCCTCTCATGGCCATTAATATGGACTTGATCCTCCCCTCATGGCCATTAATATGGACTTGATCCTCCCCTCATGGCCATTAATATGGACTTGCTCCTCCCCTCATGGCCATTAATATGGACTTGCTCCTCCCCTCATGGCCATTAATATGGACTTG